TTTCTCCTCATGCAACTACCTGTGGATGCTCAATGCATTCTCTTTAACTCGTTAAATATCAAACTACCGTATACATCTTAATCTACACAAATCCTCATTGATTCGTTCGAATCCTGTAAAATTCTGTCCTATAAAATTCTCTACTCTCTTATTTTTATTTTTTTTACTTTTGAAACACGCGTGAACATATCCTTTAGACTCATCTCGAAACGAGCTTAAGCAATTTTTAATTTGATCAACAGATACAATAGTGAGTGTTGGAATGAAATGATTGTATAAATGATTTAATTAAATATTCCGACAAAATAAATGTTTTGTAAATATGATCTATCTTGAATTTTGTATATGCGTATGTGTATGTGTGTGTGTGTGTGTGTATGTCTAAATGGTGCAACGTTTTTATGGAAGCTATTTTTCAACGGTGCTCCAACAAGAACAGTGTGACACGTTTAATGAAAAATATGCTAGATGGAACAATGTGTAATCTACAATTCAAAAATGCGATGAATATCGTATTTAACTTTCTCACGAAACTGGGATACTTGTTTCGTACCTGTCCTCGTAATCCCACGTATGCTTCCGTCGTCTAAATCAGGCAGAACAAAAAACAATAAACGTTTTTTTTTTTCTTGTTCTCTTCAAGTATCACGCGATTCATGATCAGAATTGTATAAATTGCCTTTGAATGCAATCTTATCGAGTTCATCGAAGAAAAAATAGCAAAAAGATAATTGAAGAGCTATCTGAAAAATCGGTTAATAAAAAATGAATCGAATAAGTTGCATCTTTTAATATCATAATTGTAATGTGAAGTGGACACAATGCAATAATAATTGTAATAAAAATTCACTGTAAAAGATGGACATTAAAATAATTAAAAATAGATTTACATAAATTATTTTAGTTTCTTTTTTTATTTAAAGCTTTAACATTTGATTTTTTCTGCATCTTTTTTTTCAACAAGATTTTAAAATCATCTTCAGCTTTTTTGTACGTAATCTTATAAATCTTTTCTCAAAAAAATATGTCAAATGATTCACCTTGTACATTAAACGTATCAATTAAAAATAACTATCAACTAAAAATAATTAAAAAACGGTGATTTTATTATACTTTTTCTTCAAAAAGCTCTTCAATTTAAAGAAAATAATCGATAACATAATCGATAAAATATGTTTTGTATCGATCACAGTTAACTCGAATAAATTTATTAAATCTCAACAACGAAAGATGAGGGAAAAAAAAGAGCGAGGAAGGAGAATGGAAACACAAATAGGAACGAAAAAAAAAACTATCGATTATACCAGTTTACTTCGAACTGGCTCGAAAAAGAAACCTTATTTCCAGCTACATGACACTCTAAATCGATCCCGTGTGCGTATCGCGTCTCAAAGCTCGATTAAATGTCAAATACCTGTATTCCTTATAATGCCTGGGTCGGCTGTTGTAGAAGAGTGGCTCAGAAGATTCGGAAGCGTGCTGAGACTGTGAATACCTTTGAGGTGGGCATTCTTCGGGATACGGTTCGTCGTATCGTGGACTGTGGCCTGATCCACTGTAGCCCGCGTAATTAATTATAGATAGCCTTCCTCCGACTGTGGCTGGAATCTAGAAACAATCGATAAAATACTTGAGCCACGGTTTCTCTTCCTCCTATCCAGAAACTGTATAACCGATTTAACCTTTAGAGCTGAACTTAAACGACTTCAACTTCCCTCTTAAGAAATTTATCTTGCGAGCTATATTTATCCGATCTGAGAAATAGATTTCCGATTTCTCTGCTCTCTGTCCAAGTATGGAGAAAACCAGTAATTCGAATGATAAATTCATTGCGAATAAACTTTCATTTTAGGGAAGCTTATACCATTTTCATTGTTCATTCAGAGAGGGAGAGAGAGAGAGAAAATTGGTATCTTAGTTCCATTTTGAAACTAATGTTGATCTAATTTATTCGAATATTAGAAATAAACGAATGTAAAGTGATCGTTTATTTATTAAATACTTAATATACGAGGCAAATATCTTTCGCGTATTAAATTTAAAATATCTAACAAAGTAACAACGCTTCAATTCATCATTTCAAACATTTACGTCCAAAAAACTGTTGAATATTTGATAAATCTAAACCAATATCGGATAATATTAAATACGATTAATCGTTTAATAAACGATTCAATAAGATTTAATCAACACTAACACAACATTTTTCCTCCCCTCCCCGCTCTCCAGTTTAATCGAAATCGATATCGATATTAATTTAATATTTGAAAGAAAATATCGATAAAATTTCAATGTTAAAAGTTCGATTCCCAAGGGAGGGGAGAGGAGGCCGTGATTCCAAAAGTGGACAATTAACGAATCAAGATAACAAAATATCGATCGTACCTGATGATCATCCCTCTCGTAGCTATTTTCTCTCGAGGTCTCAAGGGATCTCTGAGGGGTGGCCAATTGGTTGGCAGCAGTACGAAACTGCGAAGCCGAGCTGTTTGCACCTTGTCCGCCAACTGGATAATTCAAGTCTGACGTATAGTCGGAATCCTCCGAGTAACCGGCTGAAAGGCAATTCAAATTTAACGTTACCAACGTTCAATGTGCATAGTGAAGACCGCCGTTTCTTTTTCTTTTTCTTTTTCTTTTTGTGTGTGAAACAATCGTCGGGCTTGTGTAAAGTTCGAAAGTAGAAAAAAAAAAAAAA